CGATGTAGAGCTCGTGTTCGCGCTGAGCTTTGGCCAGGTCCACCTCGACTGTCTTTTTCCTCCTCGAGTCCTCATTGGCGAAGGAGTCAGGGATCGCTCGCACCACGGCGTGAGTGAAGTTGCCGAAATCTTCCATCAAACCAGCCATGATTTGTCGGCTTTGATTTTTTTTTTTAAATAACCACGGTTTGGTCCCACCAGATCTCGAATCCGTCAAATACTCAGCTGCACAGGTGTCTCACTTTGGTGTAGATTTGGTTGTTTTGCTCAGTTTTTGCAGCACTGCATCGCTGATGCACTTCGGGGAAGCGGGCTGGCAGGAGATGGAGATGGGTCCGGAGTGACGCGCGCAAGAGGCAGTCACGTGTGCGCGCACATCAGTTCCTCTAATTGCTAAATTTTGCGATTTGGGCTCATATCATGCTTGTCTTTACCGAATCGTCAGTGTCCGAATTCACAGCGACGGGGCTTCAGAAGCACACCTACAGCGGGAAGGGCGGACGATCCCCAGCGGCTGACGAAGACTGACATATGCTCTTCGGTTAACAGACATTTGAAACGACAGCAAATAACTGTCCTCCATAAGGACAATGATGCAACTGGAAAATGTCAGAAAAGGGGCGCATAACGCGCTATCTCTGCCGGGGGCGTTATCTTTTGTGATGTGTGCGGATAAACTGATACCCAAACCTCTGGAGACGAATTAAAATTCCTGACCTAAGAATGGGCTGTGGGGAACCTTCTTTAAAGGTGATTTCTTGATGGGGGCGGCTACTGTGTAAACAATACTTTAGAAAACGCTGTTTAATTTATATTTAATATTAACCTGATTATGTATTACATGATAGTTGCTGTAATAAATCTATATCTGGTAAAAAAAAAACTATTAGTAAACATTCAGGGTTTTTCTGAAGTGCTTACGGAGATGTTTCAAATAACATTAGTAATTTCATACCTCCTGCTTCATTTCCTGCCACAAGTCTGGATTCCCAACCGATATGCCAACTGCTCTAATTCTTTTTAACAATAATTTTAACTGATTCATACTAATTTTTAAAGCCATAATCATTGTTGAAGAGAACCAGTTGCAGGCCATATTCAGAAAAAAAAAGTTGACTAAGTAGCCAATTAGCCTTTGCATGGCAGAGCCAAAAACCAATCAGGACGCATAACTCATATAGCACTTTCCATTCTTATTGGAACAATGAACTGTGAGTAATCACCACATAGCCCCAGGTCATTGTTCTTGTCTAACGCAGAAAAAATGATGGTATGGAACAGCACGTGGGATACAGGTTCCCAGGTTAAACTGCCGTGTTCCCTTTGAGGAGAACAGTGCAACGTTCCCACAGAAGGATGAGCCGAAAAGTTCCATGACCTCTTTCTGCCTGGTGACATCAATTTTCAACATGCCTCCCCCTTGTCTATGACCTCATGTATTTCATTTAATACTGTCATGTCAATATTATGACAGTAGAACTGCCAGATTGAACATTTATAAAGCCAAATATTTGTAAGGGTACGAAACAATCCTAATGTCACTAAGCACCTTTGTTCCCGTACAGCCTCGGAAAGAGTTTGAGAAAAATCTGCAATGTCCTTCAGGGAAGTCCCACGTTATCTCAGTTGGGGAGTTTTGAAGATTTTTTCATGTATTATTCCAGCCTTCCGACAAAATCACATTTGTCACAAATTCACAACTCATAAGATGGCTTGGATTTAAATTCGGTAATACTAAAGACACTAATTCTAAAGTACTCTATCTGCATTAAAGAATAAGCCTGTCTTTGTTATATGGATTTATATGATTACACACGCCTCAGACTGCTTGAAAGAATCCTCCAGGTGATTTATGCCAAAGCTTAGGGCAGAAGAATTTTCCATGGTGCCCGGCAGGGAAGACTCACTCAGGACGGCATGGAATGTCTTGGCCACACATCTAAGCAGTCGCTTCCATGGCTACAGACTGCTATCTTTTCTTGTTCCAGATCCACTCAATTATTCTGACTGTTCTAAACGTTCCAAGATCCCCATTTTCCACTGCTCCCCCCTCCCCCGGCCGAACTAGTCCTCTGTAAATATTTTTACACAGTTTTCCCTCTGTCGACATTTCTGAAATATTTCAGTGGGGTAACAAAAATACAGTATTCTCCTGGCTGATGGCAGACGAGGGAAAATATTATTCAGAACGCCGCGCAGGCAGAGTTCAGCCCTTGACACCTGTTACTGACTTTCCAAGCAAAACTTCCAGTTTCCCTGGCGGGGAAAAGAATGCAAACATTGTGTCCGTGTGATAGCATAAACACCAGGGCCACCAGAGACCACCAACTTCCTAGGCACTGTCGGGAACTATTTTCCAGACGGGTTTAATTCTTGTTTTATTATTCACAGTTATGTCTCCATTTTAAATCGGTCTACATCGTTGTCTGTGTCTGAATACATTTCCGTATCAAAGCACAATCTCTGAATGAGTGATTTTTGTTCAATACCATTCTCGAATAACTTACTAACTGCCAAATCGTTTATCCACAAGGAATGCACATGCGTTAGTCATAGAAATCCCTTTCCGGAAACACAAGAGGGCACAGGACTGACACCAGTGATCCACCTCTGTGCTTTCTCCGCTTAATCCCTTTCATAGTCACAGTTCTTATAGGTAGAATGTACAATGCAGACAACAGGCACAGTGTCTATTGTCATCGCTCAACACTAAACGAGACACTTTATACGCCTGGTTAGGCTACTGGAAAGGCGAGACTGATTCTAGGGGACACCCAGAAGTATGACAGGACTACTTGCCAAACACAGCGGAGGCAACTGACTCAAATATCCAGTTACCCGAAAGCTAAGCAGAAGCTTTATTCCGATGTTATACAGCGGTATTATTATGACAAGAAAAGAATAAGATGTACTGGCTATTGAACAATGAAAAAATGCGACATACCTCAGCACAGTATTGCGATTTCACCAGTCCGCCTATGATCAGTGGTCCTCATGGAACAATACCAATACCTTAAGTCATGTGTCTAAACAGCATGTTACAGAAAGAGACTATTGAACGAAGATGTAAAGACACATCTTATAAGCTAATACTTATCAATCTAAACAGCTGCCAAAAAATAGGAATTCTGATATCAAGTTTCTAGGTAGACATGGTGTTACTGAATTATTACTGGAAATATTTTAAACCTTATTAAAATTACACATAAACTTAACGTCAGGTAACGTTTTGACCGACCTATTTCCCTGTAAGTCAAATTGGTTAGTTAGGGAAAAAAAGACGCAAAATCTAAGCCGGTCCTCTAGATCACAATAAAAGCTTAGTTAGTCATTGCACACCACCATCTAGTGTCTTGATAAGGAAGCATAATTCTGGCATTCACATTGATAAAAAGTTTAAAATGAAGTACGCCTGGTCGCGCATAGACACATCAGAAAGTCAAGTGTAAATCGGTCTATATTTAGTTACATTTTAGATGTCAGTCTCTGCGCAGGAAGCGGCGATTACGTTTCCTTATGGCTAAGTATCCGTTTATAGATAAATGCAGTAACATACTCGCGTCATGAAAACAACCATCTTAAACATAACTTACCTTTATTGTTCAATCGTTGATATATCTTCTTCAGTAGTTATTGTGAGCCAGTGTTTTTGTGTGGAAAAAATAAGTCCATTTCTAATCTGCTATTTCTCATCGAAATAAACAAATACTGAAACTTATGTGCGTAAATATATATATATAACTAACACCAAAAGGCTGTTTTAACCTTGTGAGTTAAACGGTATACAGCGGCTGCCTTACTATACAAACTCGGCTGTTTACTGCTGCCAATCCTCTTGCTGAATCAGTTGCCTAACTGATCCCCTGCTTGAACCTTTTAATCTTAAAAAATTACGCAAGAATGTCACTTATATGAAGTCGGTTGAAAACTAGACTAAACTACTTTTGCAAATTTTCTTCCAAAGCAACATCTTATGTGGGGGGAAAAACTGGATCACCACTGTGTTCGTGTGTGTGTGTCTGTGAGTGTTTTTTTTCCGGACGGTGATGGACAGATTGCGTGAAAAAAGTTACCCCAAGAAAAGCTGAGGAATTTCCTGTGTGTGGAACATATTTAACAGCCCTTTAAGCCTCCAGGAATGCTTTGCGGTTGGCTAACTGAAGTGGAAATATGTTAATAACGTAAGCTACTGCCATACCTAATATGGCAATATTGTTACGTCTAGAGTCTACAGCCCATCTGGAATTGCTTAGTACAATGGAATTAAGTGGATAACGAGCCAAAAATAGAAGTCGTAAACTCCTCTTTATTCCCAGCGTCTCACTTGGAAATCATTTCAAAGTTTCACCTAAGGCGGACAACACATCTCACACTCTCCGTACGCAATTTATCAAGTTTTATATTTATCAGGTTTATATGCATGCAAATATGGGGTGCGGGGCTGTCCTTGCATTCCTGTACTCAGAAGACATCTTTATCAATGATGCCATGCTTTATGTCCAAGTCATCGGGTCGTGAGCGAATTATGAAGGATGACCGTATCATTTAATAGCCTGTCAGTACTGAACAGAGACACGTGTTAATATGTCAATAGCCGCTTTTTTCAATAACAATAAACTAAAAGTCAAAAACTCAAATCTCCCGCACAGAAACCAAATTAAAATGTCATTTATGCAGTAAAACACAACATACAGAAAATGCAGGTCTAATAAATGCGCCCAGAGAAATTACATCATAACTGTAAAGCAACAAAAAGCGTGGACGCATATATATGAAATATGTAATTTTTCTAATATATATGATTTATATATATATATATATATATATATATATATATATATATATATATATATAGTTGATGTGTATATATAGTTGGGTTAGGGTGGTGCTTGGCTTGGATGGAAAGCGCGCCGAGAAAAATTCCTCGCATACTTCAGGAACAGTGCAACACAGCCAAGAAATACGTCAGCTTCCACTACAGTATATAAAAGACCGCTGAGACCTGGAAGGTCTATCATTGCACAGCTCTACAGCGGCGTGTTACACACCACACAGGAAAACACAGCGGGACGAGTCGTACTTTAAGATCGCACTTCATTTAAAAGTAAAGTGGAAACGCAAAGGGATAGCACTGCTCTCATTTGCTTTTTTCGTTTTGCCGAAATGAGAAAAATGATCTCCTTTGCCCTTATCTTCTTTTTCCTCGGCGTGGTAAGTTACAAGCATTTTTTTCTAAAATAACTTTAACAACGCAAGATCATGAGTTAAAATAATACTTCTGTGTGCACAGCAAACATAACATTTATATACTGTTGTGTATTTACGTGTAACTATGCGATTGATTCTTATAACTTTTGACTTGTAACAACTTAAAATAATTAATGACAAAAAGGGGTTTGCGTTACCGGTAACGTGAGCGCTGTACTGACTCTAGGGGCATGGGTTTCGCAGGTACGCTCGTGCCCATCGGAATGCGCGTGTCCGAGGGAGGCACCCAGGTGCTCGCCGGGAGTGAGCTTGGTGCTGGACGGCTGCGGCTGCTGCAAGGTCTGCGCTAGGCAGCTCAACGAGGACTGCAGCAAAACGGAGCCGTGCGACCACACCAAGGGGCTAGAGTGCAACTTCGGCGCCAGTTTCGGCGCCGCCAAAGGCATATGCAGAGGTACGGGGGGCGCGGATGCCCGAGGCTGAGGGTGGATGGGATGCAATCAGAATAAAGCGCGTGGACTTCTGAAATACAGCTTCAGAGTACTTAAGAGTACTTCGTATTCTGACTATGTCATACACGCAGTTGATTTTAAAAGTCTTGAAAGTGGTTTAATACCGCCGTTGTGACAAAGCCATTAAGACACCGATAGTTCGGTTTTCAGTTTAACACTGATGATTAACAAAGAATGCGAAAGGTAGGGAAAGTAAAGTACGGATGGATACATTGACTAATCGTATCCCCTCATCTGTTTTCAACAGCCAAGTCAGAGGGAAGACCATGTGAATACAACAGCAAGATTTACCAAAACGGCGAGAGCTTCCAGCCCAACTGCAAGCACCAGTGCACGTGCATCGACGGAGCCGTGGGCTGCATCCCGCTGTGTCCGCAAGAGCTCTCCCTGCCCAACCTGGGCTGTGCAAACCCCCGGCTGGTGAAGGTACCTGGACGGTGCTGCGAGGAGTGGCTGTGTGCCGAGGGCAAGGAGGCGGACTCTGTATACAAGCTCTTCAGCAAGGAAAGCGGGACAGATGAGTCAGAGAATGACCTCACCAACAGAAATGAGCTCATTGCCCTGGTCAAAGGAGGACTGAAGTCCTTACCTGGTAAGTAGACGTCCAGTTTGAGTCTTTTAGACATTTTAATACGAGTTTTAACCGTCTCTAATTTGGGTCAGTGCCAGGAGACCTTGTCCGTTACTTAACTCTGGATTTCTTTCATTTTTCTGGTAGTTTTCGGTGTCCAACCAGAGGTTTTGAGGATCGAAAGCCAGAAGTGCATCATCCAGACCACAGCGTGGTCCCAGTGCTCCAAGACATGTGACACAGGCATCTCCACCAGAGTCACCAACAACAACGGCGAATGTAAACTGGTCAAGGAGAGCCGGCTCTGTATGATACGGCCATGCAGCCAGACATCTCACTCGCTTTTGAAGGTTAGTACGTGCAAACACATTCGCTCGAGTTAGACCTAAGTTCATTTATGGGGGAAAAATTGTTCAGGAAGTAATAATTTTACCTAAGACATTTTTTTTTTCTTCACAGAAGGGAAAGACATGTAGCAGAACCAAGAAGTCCAATGAGGCTGTGAAGTTCACCTATGCCGGCTGCTCCAGCGTGAAGAAATACAAGCCCAAGTACTGTGGGTCGTGCTTGGATGGCCGCTGCTGCAGCCCGCTGCAGACCAGAACAGTACCCGTCAGGTTCCGCTGCGAGGATGGCGACACCTTCAACAAGAACGTCATGATGATCCAGACCTGCAAGTGCAACCACGACTGCCCCACCTCCAACGAGGCCTCTCTGCCCTACTACAGGCTCTTCAATGACATCCACAAGTTCAGAGACTAGGCCGGTCAGCCCCAAGAAAGCCGACTGCCAATGCCCGTCCCAAACGAGCGTCCTATCGCCTTTGGTCTGGATTTCCTAACAGTGGATATCATGAAGACCAAAGGAAGTTGCACTGTTAAGCTGGAGAAAGTTCCGGCATGTTCTTCTCATAACGAGCTACTTCATACTATTGGAGTTTCACTAATGACGGCTTCTTCATGGAGCAGCGTGTAATTATGTTTGTAAAATCGAGTTGAAATTTACTTGACTTGCTCTGTATATGTTGTCTTGCAGATACACCAGAGAAACCTGACCTTTAATGTCTACGTATTTATGCAAACGTAATTAAATGTAACCTTTGATCAAGGAGAGACGATCCATCTGTGTTGTGGAACATGTGTGTGGTCACATTCCTTTCTGATGTGGGCTAAACTGTCCACGTTTGGTGGCAGCTATTGAGTTACTTTCACATTCGCACGATGAAAGAGAAAACGGTCAACTTCTCTAAGAATGAATGAATGTTTTTGTTTATTATTGTTATGATTATTTATCAGTGTGTAGCTACTTTATTTGAATATTAAATGTCATACTGGAATAAATTTTTAAATGATTTAATTTTATATGCAAAATTGTTATAAATAAAAGATGTATTTATGAAAATGTGTGTCTCTGGGGTCAGTCATGTTTCTGATGTCACAGAGGTATACAACATGTCCAGTCAGTTGTCAAACATCCTCAGCAGATTTGGACCCAGTGGAAAACACTGCTTGACTATGTGACAGCTAACCTCTAAGCCATAGTGTCAACTGAAACGCTTGTAGGAATTATTTGGGTCAAACCTTGGGCGACTAAGAGTGAGGACACCTTTATAAGAAAGCTGCTGTGTTATGCTAGTGGTTTGGTCCAGGAAGACATTGGAAACTCCTTAAAAGAAAAGCATTCACTTTGCTGGTCTTCTACTGTAAATATACAAAACTTTTAAGTCCTCCATAAATAACACATCTTATGGAAACCACAAGACGACTCCAAGCAAAGACCTTCAAAAGAAAAACTGTCTGGAACTAGTTTCAAATTCAGCTGCCAATATCCAGTTTTAGACGTTTCTGGACATATGCAAGTGGCGTTACAGAATTATTTTAAAACCATTATGAATGTAATAAATAATAAATGGATACACATATCTATAATTTTTTTTTCCCAGTAAAGCATATCCAGTGCAGGATTGTGGTGAGCCTGGAGATCTCAGGGAAGCTGGGAACTTTCTGGAAAGGATTCGAGTTCAGCACCGGGAACACACAGACAGATATTCATAGACAGCAAGTCACGTAAAACCACAAATCTTTGGAAAACGGCGTACCTGGGCGAGACTGGTGAAAAGTCAGGAAGAATATGAAAATTCCATGTAGAATCCTACAGCCCTTGAGGTGTGAGACCACAGCCCAACCCATTAAGCCAGAACTGAGCACAAAGACAGGTAGAGACGCATGTCTATAGCAGGGAGGCCTCGGATTTAACGGCCTGAGATCAGGTCCTCCTCTGGATCTGCATATTCAATGCACAGCCCTTTGGGGAAGCAATGTGATTGTAAGGTTAGGTATCCCAAACCCAGGTTCCACTACTCATTACATTCATAGCAAAAGCAACCAACAATGACATAAGCTACAAGACCCTCATGCCATCAGAATACAGCACACAGAAATGGCATAGAATTCATGGAATGCGTATGAGAGTAACCACAGAAAAACTCGAAACTCAATTTCTGAAACTTTTAAAGTGTGTTATGAAAAGTATGCCAGATTTCAGTTTTAATGGTTTCAACTGCACAGGGTTATAAAGGTCTGGTTATCTGAAGCATCTTAACACAAAGTAGACGATGTATGAGAGGACATTTTATTTTTAATCATCCATCATCGATATCGCAATGACACAGGACCATGGTGAGCCTGCAGCCCATCTCATGAAGCTCAGGGTATGACATCAGGGACACCCTGGGCTGTATTCCTGGGGGGTGAGGCCATAAGACTCCCAGCTGAATCACTACGTCACATGGACACTGGGACGCAAGCACTGCAGTGTCATCTACAGCTGTGACACTATCGGTGCAAAGCATGAGCCAGAAAGTGACCATTCAATATCCTTCTGACATGATATAGCCTCAAAAAAACCCCTCAAACATCACACTCTCAAAAAAGACAAAAGATGACTCATTAACATTTCGATTTCATTAAGTGTACATGGCAGAAATGTGCATTACAGCATTCTGGAAGGTGCTACAAGCCTACGTCATATTTTACTGTTTTCCGGTTGAAGTTGAAGTGAAACGTTAATGAGGCCCTAAGAGCAAAAGAATTTTTACAGCCTAGATAAAATGCAACCAGATTAGGGGCCACCTAGTGGTGGCCTTGGGAACCACAGGTACTTAAAATAAAAAATGGTGGCACCAAAGCTTGCGGGACAGTTCAACACAAAAGATCAATAACATTTTAATCTATGAAGGTATAGCTTCACACAATTAGATTTCTATAGCCTGCATGATTCATTTTTAAATTTCATACATTTTTGATTTCAGATTGGATTCCAAAGTATCTCAGGGAAATGGAAATGTCACCCACAAAAAGGGTGGGGGGGGGGGGGATTTAATTCAAGGCTCATGAAGATGCATTATACAAAGAAGCCTGCCAGAGGAACTGCACCTACTTTTCACGGCAGGAATCTGGTCATGATAAACAGAGGACTGGGTGCAGACTGGGTGGGGTGTGATGCCTTAAGACAGGGGTGTCAAACTGCAGTCCTGGAGGGTCAGAGCCCTGTGTGGCTTAGTTCTTTCCCAGTTCCACCACAAATGATTCAGCTCAAGAGCAGCATGGTAATTAGCACAAGGAGTTGAATCAGGTGTTAAATGAGGGGAAACCCAAAAATGTGCAGGGCTCTGGCACTCCTGGACTGGAGCTTGACACCCTTGCTTTAAGACAATGTTTCCTAACCTGGGGACTCATAGACAGTCCACATTTTTGCTCCCTCCCAAACAGTCCACATTTTTGCTCCCTCCCAAACAGTTCACATTTTGCTCCCTACCTGGAGCTGGGAGGGAGCAAAAGTGTGGACTGCTGTAGGTCCCCCCATGGCCCGGATTTGGAACCACTGCCTTAAGGAGCTCAAAGGAAGCACTTTGGGACAGCGGGTATATAAATACCGGTTTAGTCCCGCATGTTTATTTGGGTCGCTTAGGGACGGTCTCGGTACATCTCTCTCGAATTTCCGTTATTAATGAGCCGTAGACATGCCAGAGTAAGACGGATCTTGGTGGACGTCCTGTGGGATACAGCCTGGGTTCGGAGTTCCGTTTTGGGGATGGGACTCGCCCATTCCCAGGATCAGGCTACATGCGCCCATTTCCGCAAGAGCAAGGCAAAGCCTGTACTGCGTCAAATCGCCCCTGTTCATCTTAACGTCTAACACAGGCGTATCAAAGAGGTTTTGGCAGGCGCACAAACGTAGACTTCGACAATCCTCTGTCAAACAAAGGCCAGTCAGAAGACTAGAGATTCCTCTTTTCTCAAGAGACACATCCTTTGAAATTCTTCCTCAAACCAGGGATGTGTGAAAGGCTCCAGGTAGCACAGAACCAAAGGCTGGGTACCTCATGGATAGGATAACATTAACACTATGGTTTTTTATAGCTAAAAGTGAGCCAAGACAGTTTTCTTGAGCCTCCCATATTATGTAACGTCAAGTAAAATTAAGGAGCTCTATTAGGTAATTAGAGAACTCAGCATTTAGACAAAACCGAGTCTCTGGGCACTTCCTGCAGAGTTGGCTGCTGGGAAAAGCTTATACTGCCTCCCTTTAATTCAGCTAGTTTCTTTTATAGGTGGTTTCGTAGGTTGTATAATTGGCCATTTTTAGCGCTTAGCATTTAGCAGATGGCGTTTCTTTTCACATTGGTCACAGCCGGTGATCTCAGCACAGAAAGCATGTGTGACACACTCCTCTCTGTTGACAATTTCGTGTCCTCCCACCCTGTGAACTTGCCATCATGGGCCAAACACGTTCCGGCAGATTCTTACGGCTCATTTTCACATTTCCAACACCGGCAGCTCCATCGGGGCAGCAAGCGCCTGATTACGAAAAAATGTCGCTCACTGCTGGGGGTCACGGCGGTTCTGTCTGCAGCTAGAAGCGGCATCTGCTGAGCCTCTAGAAAGGCCTCCAACAAACTCCAACAAGTTCATGTATCACAAAGAGATGCTTAAGTCGCAAATGCAAACCAGAGAGCATTGGCTAATGGCTCCATTAGCCTTCACAAACACAAAATCGGAGCGTCTTGTCAAGTGTCCTTCAGCTGTGAGAAAAGACGTGTAAACGCCATATCTGTCGCCAATAAAATGCTTTTTCCCTTTTATTAGGCTGAAGAGATGAATCTCACTTATTGGAGTGTTGGTGTCTGCAAATCAATTATTTTTTTTATAATGAACGCGTTTCATCGAAGCGAAACCCACGCCTTTGATGTGGCCTCCCGTGTTTCTGGTTAACTTCATGGGCTGATACTCACCCAAAAGTGAGCGTTTCCTTCGCTTTATTTACATGCTATAAACTGTATGGTCTTTCTGCACCAGAGAGAGAACATTTACAAAGTGCTTTCGATCATTTCTTTTTGATCCTGCTCTAGAACATTCTCTAGGTTGGGGGGAGCATCAACAGACCGAAATCACACGAACCAACATTGAAAATGAAGACCAGCTCTGCAAGAACCACGTTTCCAGGCTGCAGAGCTATTTTTAAACCTCAGTCGGAACACTATCCCACAAAAGAGCAAACATCCTAATTCTGACTCAACAAGACTCAACAACCTCACTTTCATTAGCAAATCTTACCTCACCACATGCCTTGGTTGGTTCTGACCTTGTTCAGGCTTTGTTACAATTGGCTGAAACATATCCAAGAATCTTTGTTTTTTAGCTACAGAAAACAAACAAAACAAAACAAAAAAAAAACACTAACACACCAGCGAAACAAATTCTAAACATGCTACAGCCATTGCGTGACATTTGATGCAAATTATCAATTAAAAGACGCCACAATAAAGGCATCTCTGAAAGAGAGCAGACGACATGCCCCTAAAATCATTCACATCTGACGACATGGAAAGAGAAAGCAGAGGACAGCCCGAATGAGTCTGTGAAGGTAAACCGCATGCTTGTTTGTATATACAATACAGCCTCAGCCACCAGCAGAGAGAATGTATACATGTATGTGTGTGGGTTCAATGAACTGAAAGCTCACCTGTGGATATTTTTTAAGATGATGCAAGAACACGGATCCCACAAAGGAGAATGGACACCCTGGAGTGTGTACAGAAGACCCAGGCAGGAGGAAGGTGTGCTGGCGGCTTTATTTTTTAGGCTTTACAGTAAACGGGTAACTGATTCATTCAGGTGATGTGTGTCCTCGTTTATGAAATAAGCTGCTTGACATCTGGCAGCCCCAGCCAGTGGCCTCGTCACTCGCTGTCACATATCTCGCCTTCCTCCAAATCCTCGCCTTCCCCGCCTGGTGACGACCTTGATTTCACGATGGCAGGTTCGGTGACGATGCTAGTCGTCTTGACGCTGCAGGGGGTCACGCTGCCACCCCTGACCTCTGGAAGATGAGAAACCCGTCTATAAGCGGCTTTTGAATGACAGTGTAGTTCCTAAGCGATTTCTTTACAGCTTTCAGAAACTTAATCGCGGTGATACAATTAATTTTTTTAAATATAAAGCTTACTTAGGTCGGGATCAATTAATATGAATAATTCATATCAAGCTGGTGCTGTATAACATATAACAGAAAACATAAAGAGTGGATGGACTTGGTTTTGTACAGTGACCTGCAATTCTTCCGAGAC